TCACTTAAGCCCAGGAGTTGGAGGTTGCTGTGAGCTGTGATGCTACAGCACTCTACCCAGGGGGACAGCTTGAGGCTCTGTCTCAAAAAAAAAAAAGAATTTCAGACCAGTCACTATAGCTTAAACCTAAAATCTTAACACTTTGGGAGGCTGAGGCAGGAGGATTGCATGAGCCCAAGAGTTTGAGGCTGCAGTGAGCTTTGCTCACACCACTATGCTCCAGTTTAGGCAACAGAGCAAGACTTGGTCTCAAAAAAATAAAATAAAATTTTGCAGGCTCAGTGCCCGAGGCACATGGTGCCAGCCACATAACATTGACACTGGTGGGTTTGAACCCGGCCCGGGCCAGTTGAACAACAGTGACAACTGTAATAATAAGAAAAATAGCCAGGTGTTGTGGCGGGTGCCTGTAGTCCCAGCTACTTTGGAGGTTGAGGCAAGGGAATCACTTAAGCCCAAGGGTTCGAGGTTGCTGTGAGCTGTGATATCACGGCACTCTACCAAGGGTAACATAGTGAGACTTTGTCTCAGAAAAATAAATAAGTTTTTGTAGTAGTAGTGACTCAAAGCCCTATGAGGAGGTAGTTTTCTGCCCTTTGCAACTGGGGAAATGGTGGTTAGCCCTGGACTTAGGGCACCACATCTCGTCGGTTCCTTTGTAAACAGGAATTAGTGGTACCATTTCTGGAGCTTCATCACACTATTCACAGAAATTTTGGAAAGTGGAGTTCTCCTCAGTCAAAAGCCATTGCCTGGCATCTAAACACCAGAACATTGCTATCTATAGGATTCTGTCTGGTTTTGGACCCATTTACATTTATTTTGAAATGGAGGCTTTTTGGTGTTAGGTGGAGGAGCCAGAGAAAGTTTAATTTTGAATTAAAAATTCAAAAGTAGAAATGTCTTTTCTGTGGGAGGCTATTGTTTTCCAGTATAAAGTAACTGTACTAGCTGAGATGATGCTCCACTTACTCACAGGGTATTGATGTGTTGGAGAAATTTATCACACAAGATAGTATGTTTTAATGGAATAAGAACAAAGTCCTCCTTTGTATTAGTGAATGATTATAGATTATAATTAACCTTGAATAGTAAATAAATTTGATGTCATTTAATAGTGTGTTTGATAGTTTTTGTAGGCTAGTATTAAATTATCTCTTGATTTCAAATTTAGGACATTTAGTCCATTCTGGCAAAACTCACACCTAGGATTATAGCTGTGAGCCACTGTGCCCAGCCCACACCTAAGTTTGGCCCCAAATATAGGTTAGTCATGATGTCACTACCTTTCATCTGTGCCTATGACCTGACTATTGAGGAAAACTTACTTTTCCTTAGTTCACGCCCTTCAGAGATAGCTTTTCTTTTTTTCTTTTTGAGACAGCCTCAAGCTGTCCCCCTGGGTAGAGTGCCATGGCATCAAAGCTCACAGCAACCTGCAACTCCTGGGCTGAAGCAAGTCTCTTGCCTCAGCCTCCCAAGTAGCTGGGATCACAGGCACCTGCCACAACGCCTGGCTATTTTTTTGGTTTCAGCCGCCATTGTTGTTTGGCGGGTCTGGGCTGGATTCGAACCCGCCACCTTAGGTGTATGTGGCTGGCGCCTTAGCCACTTGAGCTACAGGTGCCAAGCCCAGAGATAGCTTTTCAAGTGCCCCCTGCTCTTCGAGAGCACAGTGCTGGTGAGCGTTCACATCCTTAAAGCTCATCTGTAAATCAGTCCATAGAGTGAACACTTCTTTTTTGAGACAAGAGTCTACGTCGTCCTCGGTAGGGTTCTGTGGAGTCACAGCTCACAGCAACCTCAAACTCTTGCACTTAAGCAATTCTCTTGCATCAGCCTCTCAAGTAGCTGGGACTACAGGTGCCTGCCACAATGCCCGGCTATTTTTCTGTTCCAGTTTAGCCGGCCCGGGCCTGGTTTGAACCCATATACACCAAAGCTAGTACCATAACCACTGTGCTACGGGTGCTAAGACAGAGTGCAAACTTCTAATCCAATTCACCATGAGAATACTCTTATTCACCAGACAGAAGGCTCTGAATAAACCAGGAGGGTGGGCAGAGTTAAGATTTTGTGGGGCTGTGTCATCTGTGTGATTTCACTTAGACACTGAGCCTTTCTTTTCTTGCTACTTATCTCTAGCACTCTGACACTTAGCAGCTGTGGTCAGGCTTGGAAACAGGGAATGTGGGAGGAGGTGTTTGCCTGAAGTCCTGTATTTAGCTGTGTATAATGTGTACTTTTTTGCCCAAATTTTTGAGGGAAAGTTAAGGATGTGCCACTGAGGGTAGTGGCGCTGGGGAAAAGGGGAGCCTAGCGGACCTCCTGGGGCCACCACGCTCTCCCACCTGGACCAAACAGGCACATGGGGTTCCAGTCTAGGAGGATCAGGGATTTGGTGGGAGTGGGCTGGAGTGGCCTCTGGCAAGTGCCATGATCAGGGGAGGGGGCAGTGGCAGTGTTATTAAGGCAGGCTGTGGCTATTTGGGGGTGAGGGTTTGTGACTTGGCTACAAAGAGGGGATGGGAGCCCTATGTAGGCCCTGGGGACCTGTCTGACTGCCCTGGGGCTCAGCAGCCTCAGAAGTTCCTGCTCTGCAGCCCCCAATGTGCCAAGGAGAGGGGCAAGGAGCAGCCTTCACAGAATGGATGGCTGTGTATGTGGGGTGCAGTCTGCACATTTACCAAGGGAACGTCAGCCATCTCCAGATTAGTATCCCCAGCCACTTTCTCAAGGGGCATTTTCTTGACATTTTGGGCCAAAAACATGGGTGTGCCTTATACACGGCAGTGCATTTTACACTGCAAAATTTGGTAACCAGGCAAGGGGTGCTAGAGGGGAGCTGGGGGGCAGCTGTGTGTGTGGCACAGGTGTGAGCTGTTGGAAACTTGATGGGCTTGTGCCTCCTGAGGGGATGGAGTGGTGGGAGCAGGTGAGTACCTGCTGCGGAGGGTGGAGGGAGCAGGACAGCAGCCTCTGTTCTGATGGTGCTTCTGTAGCCTTGTCATGTTTGCGTTCTCAAATCCTGACATTTCAGTGATGATCTGGGATGACCTGAAAAAGAAGACGGTTATTGAAATTGAATTTTCCACAGAAGTCAAGGCAGTCAAATTGCGGCGAGATAGGTAGGTTTGTTATTGGTGATTTTTTTTTTTTTAATAAGTAGAATTTTATTTTCTGTAAAGATGACTGAGATACTTTTCTGTTGAAAGAAGAAAAATGTTTAGGAAATAATGTATTCAATGTCGATGTCTGTAGTTGAGTATGGCCCAAAGGATATAAGGATTATTTCTATTGTAAGACAGACAGTGGATTTTATTGGTTTCCAGGGCTCTTGCACAGGTGTGTGGTGAGTGGGTGTTGATGGAGCAGGAGTGCCATGGCCCAGTGGTGGCTCTTACCCCACCTGGTCAGCACTGAGGGCCTGAGTTTTGAAACTTGAGTCACCTCACCGTCAGCCTCTGCTTTGCCAAATGCTGTAACTGGGTAAATAGAATTGAGATGGCTTTGTGGAATCTGATATGTTAAAAATAGCAGAGTTGGCCTGTGGCTCAAGTGGCTAAGGTGCCAGTCACATACACTTAAGGTGGCGGGTTCGAATCCAGCCTGGGCCCGCCAAAACAACAGTGACGGCCGCAACCAAAAAATAGCTGGGCGTTGTGGCAGGTGCCTGTGGTCCCAGCTACTTGGGAGGCTGAGGCAGGATACTTGCTTAAGCCTAGGAATTGGAGGTTACTGTGAGCTGTGATGCCATGGCACTCTACCCAGGGGGATAGCTTGAGACTCTGTCTCCAAAAAAAAAATAAAAAAAATAGCAGGGTTTGTCAGCCATTGCCTTATAGTGGTGTTTAGGGGAATATGGGATTTTATCTTAGTACACTGAGCTTTGTTTGGATTTTAATTTGACATGATTTACATGTTACACTGTAAGGATATTAATGTGAGCAGGGTTCTGTTACACCTGTATTCTTACATAGCTTTGTTGTTTGCAGTCATGTAAATTTTTTTTTTGAGATAAAGTTTTGCCCTGTCTTCCAGGCTAGAGTGCTGTGGCATTGTTATAGCTCACTGCTACCTCAAACTCATGGACTGTAGTGATCGCTCTTCCTGCTCAACTACCACACCTAGCTAATTTTTTCTATTTTTGGTAGATACAGGGTCTAACTCTTGCTCGCTCCTGAGCTCAAGCGATCCACCCACCTCAGTCTCCCAGAGTGCTGGAATCACAGGCATGAGCTACTGTGCTTTTCTTCTTTTTTTGAGACAGAGTCTAACTCTGCCTTCCAGGCTGATTGTAGTGGTGCCATTATATTTCACTGCAACCTTGAACTCCTGGCCTTAAGCAGCCCTCCTGCCTCAGACTCCCAAAGGCTAGGATTACAGGCCTGAGCCACTGTACCTGGCGCTTGTCAAAATTTAAGTCCCTTGATACTGCAAAGGCTTGAGTCTTATCAAAGATCTGCTTTCAAGCTTTTCTTATCCAGATATCTATTGTAGTATAAAAAATAACGACTTCTGCCCTGTGTGTTTCACTTGGTTCATAGATGAAATATTTGTTGATGTGTCTTTAACCTCAGCGTTATCTCAGGCTGGCCTCTGTCCAGGTGAGAAGGGCTTGCTAGTTGGGCATAGCCTACTTGCACTCAGCTTAGGCTGGTGTGCTGCCAACCTGCTTCCAAAGGTCTGTCTTGCACAGGGCATAATTCTAGAATGATACTTTTTTTTTTTTCCAGATTAGTAAGATTTCAGTGTACTAAGATAAAATCTGAAAATTTTTTTCAGATTTGTCAGATATGAGAGTACAATTAGGTTAACTGTGTTTGCGTTTGTTAGGTAAAGTCCCTATTGTAGTTGTGCCCCAAACCTAGGAGGTGTGCCATATACCATTACATTGTGCTCATTGGGCCAAATGTTTAAATTTTGACTTTTTAGTAAGGGAACTCTGATCATATTTTTCTTTCCAGAATTGTGGTTGTTTTGGACTCCATGATTAAAGTGTTTACATTCACACACAATCCCCATCAGTTGCATGTCTTTGAAACCTGTTATAACCCTAAAGGTAAGAAACTCAGGAAATGCATGAAATTTGTCTACTTGGGGATGCAGGCCTGCCCTGGGTGACCCCTCCTCACTGTGCCATAGTGGTCCTGAGCATACCTGGGGTATGTGCAGGAGGTGCTGGCTTTCACCGGGCCCACACCCTTCCTGGAATCCCTGCAGCTCAGCATCCTGGATCATAACTTAGGAAATTGCCTGCTTTCCAGAGTTGATGGAAAGGTGGACACAAGGTAGAAATCCCTTCCTCTGATCCTCTCTGCAGTGGTGAGCCAGGAACCCACAACCTCCTTACTCTGGGGTCGTTCACCACCTTCGGAGCCACTGAGTCCTCAAGCACTCCCCTCGCTTGTCTTGATTGGAGGATTGCTTGTGGCTGACTTTGTCATTATAACATCTTCATATCTTCTTTAGGTTTTTAGGTTCCCCCTCCCTCCGTTTTGTTGGAATATAGTTATGTAAAACTCACTCATTTTAATAATATTGTAAATTTTAGTCATTGTGAACAGTTATATAACCACCAT